CCATCAGCCCCAGCATTTTCTGAAACCTTTTGAGCGGAACTATCGAGCCGTGGCGGAAGGATTTCGCGACGCGCTGAATATTTAGTCCGCGCTCTGGTGACAGGCGTGCCGTCATGGATGGCGAGTCTAACACTGTTCCCAGAAAGGAAATTTTCTGACTGGGAGACAGTGAGCTCTTCGCCCAATTGACTGTGAGGCCCAGCTCCTCGAGGTGCTCGAGTAATGCGGCCCTGTGTTCTATGAGCTACGATCGTGATCGAGCTAGAATCAGCCAATCGTCCAAGTAGTTCAGGACTCGCATGCCCTGAAGTCTCAGGGGTGCGAGCGCCGCGTCCATGCACTTCGTGAATGTACGAGGTGCTAGGGACAGGCCGAACGGCAGGACTGTGTATTGATATGCCTGGCCCTCGAAAGCGAATCTCAAGAATCGCCTGTGATGGGACGCTATTTGTATTTAGAAATAGGCGTCTTAAAGAGCTATTGACATAAACCAGTCCCCGTGGCGCACTTGCGCGAGGATTTTCCTGGTCGTAAGCATTCTGAACTGGCACTTCACAAGCGCTCTGTTCAGCTGTCGCAGATCTAAAATGGGGTCTGAGACCTCCATCTTTTTTCGGTACCAGAAAATATCTGCTGTGTAGGCCCCCTTTGCTCTGAGCTTGAGATAAAGGTTCTATAGCACCTTTGCTCAGTAGTTTCGCTATCTCGGCTCGAAGTAGATGAGATACTTCGTTTTCCACCGTCGTCTCGACGCGCGCCGTATAACGGCGGGGACGTCGAGCGAACTGTAGCGAATAGCCTCTTTTTATAGTGTTCAGCACCCATTCTGATACCCCAGGAAGCTGTGCCCACACTTTCGCGTGAATAGCTAGGGGTAGAATGAGATCTGGGCTCTGGCCGAGACATAGTGACGGCAAGAGAGCTCCGGCGTGCTGTAACGCAGACACTGTGTTTACAGTGTGTGAGGCGGGGGGCGCGCCGATCGCGGCGGGCAGCCTGGCCGCGCTCAAAACCCTTATAGCAGTTTGCTGAGGGAGAGAGAGCGGGGCGAGCCCCGTGGGGCTTAACATGTCTGTGAGTGAATGTGGGCGCAGGACAGCGGGCACATTTACTGCACTGAAAAACACCGTCGGCCTGAGCTGACTGAATGCGTGTTGGTTTCGTTTTCACAGAACCCGTGGGACATGTGGTGTGTAGTGTTTGTGGGCACTGAGACGTGGGCACATTCACTACATTTAGTGCACAATCGACATGAGGCGATTTTGTTTGTGCGAGCCCTGCATTTTTGCGGGCTGTGTTTGTGTGTAGAAATGAGCCCTGGGTTGTAGGCATTTTCAATACACTCATAACACCATCGGCTGTGGCCGGAATACCAGAAAATACACCATTTATGTGATTTATCTGGGTCGCCGTGGGAACAGCATTTGTGTGCAGGCAAGCGGGCATGGTACTGGCTTGCTTACTGCAAAATACACTGGAACAGTCACATTTTCTGGAACTGAACGAGCGAAAATTTCAGTGGAAGTCTGGCCACGGCGAGACTGAAACACCGTCGATTTCCTAGGAGGCTAGGAAGACTTGTGTTGGTTTCGTTTTACAGAAACCGTGGTAGTGTTTGCGGGCACTGGGTTGTGGGCACATTCACTACATTTAATGCACAATTGACATGCGTCGATTTCATTTGTGCGAGCCCTGTACCGTGGCGGGCTGTGTTTGTGTGTAGAAATGAACACTGGGCTGTGAGCATTTTATTACACTTATAACACCATCGGCTGTGGCCGGAAAACCAGAAATACAATGATTACATGATTTTTCTGGGTCGCCGTGGAAACGGCCTTTATGTGCAGGCAAGCGGGCCGTGGTACCAGCTTGTTTACTGCAAAATACACTGGAACAGTCGCATTTTCTGGAACTGAACGAGCGAAAAGTTTCGGTGGAAGTCTGGCCGCGGCGAGACTAAATTTTTATCTGCTGCAAGAGCCGGGATCGAACACGGGTCTCTCGCGTGAAAGCTTTGGGTTCCGCCACTGGGCCACAGGGAGAACTACACTAGCGCAAGCAGATAAGAGAGCGTCATCACAGTTTTGTGTGTGTCTGCGTTTGTATGCAGGTGTGCGTGTTATACAACAGGCTCATTGCTGCAATAATGACATTTTCAGCCGCTCAAACTAGGAGCTGAGAAATGTTTGAGAAATGGAGATTAGTCCGGCCTCGGCGGGGACTAAAACACACTCTTTTCTCATTTGCCGGTGACGCACGCCCATGGGGGGCGGGGTAGATTTCTTATAACGTAAAGAAAGCTAGCCGCGGTTTTAGGGCTCGCGGTCTTGATGCTGGCCCGTTTCCTTGACGACACGCGGACAGAAGGCGGAGGTCCACAGAGCTCGCCTGTTGCGCGGCGGTTGCGCGGGCGCCTCCCAATCGAGGCCGATGCTTTCCACGGCCTGAGAGAGCAGACGCATCAGCTCAGTCTCAATGGAAACGCTAGCGGAGGGGAGGTCCACGGAGCTCGCCCAATCCTCGCTATCGGATGCCAGAAGAGAACACGCCTCGGTGGGTTCGTCGAACTCGTGGACGGACGCGGCGGCAGGCGGCGGCCGTTGTCCGTCAGTGAGCGACTCGAGCGAAGCCGGCGAAGCTGGCGGGCGAACCGGCGAGCTTTGGCGGGCTGGAGAAAGCTCGGGAGCGCGCTGGGCGCGGCGCTTCTTGCGGCGCGGCACCACGGCGGGCTGTGGTGAAGGCTCGGAGAATGATGCCAGGCGAGTCCTCAGAGTCACCATAGGCAAAAACTCGCAATGAGGGCATCCGCCGTCAGCGAGCGCGAGAGCCGCGTGATCCTCACCCAGGCAGGAAACACAGATGACGTGCCGGTCTCCATCGCTGAGCGGGGCGCGGCACGAGCCACAGGATGGCATCTTTAAAAAGACGCAGGTCTTTTGTGAAGAGAAGTGTGAGTCGCGTCAAGTAAGCGAGCAAACACTCTCAGCAGAGTAAAGATACACAGAGTATAAAAGGATATAGAACGCCGGAAAGCGCAGCAGGTACGGCAGTTGAAGGCGGCGAGGCCAGCGACTCCAGAGCTCGTCCCGCTGAAAGGCTTGCTTCGACGGCGCGGCTTCTCACTCCGGATCCAGCGATGCGTGTGCGTCGCTGAAGAGATAAAAATCAGCTTGTACCAGCCTAACGAGCATATTTATAGGGTGAGACCATGCCCTTTCTGGCGGGACGTGACGATATGGGCGCGAATTGCCCCCATTGGTCATTACGTCACGCAGAGTCTCTCTCGATAGGCTGCTGCATTTGCCGCAAGAGCAACCAATAGGCGCGCGAGCTGTTTCGCCTATGTCTGCTTGCTGCTGCAAAGCGTTTTACATTAATAAAAAATTAAGGATAATTTTTGGCTTCAATATCTCGTGGAAAAGAGTTTTTCCCCTAGCGTAAAGCTATTACGCAGTACGAGAGATACTCTCGTAAGAGAACTGCGTATCATATGCACGTAAAAACTCATTTTCTCGTATAAATTGCACGATAATACACAATGCCTGCTATAGAGACGCATTTACGTGAGAACAGGCTGGTTACTTAGTTACTTTGTATGGAAAGTAATGCGTTACATTACTTTTGTGTTACTTTTTCTCACCTGAGCTGTGGTTGCTTGTTTGTTTTTTAATAACAAAAAAGTTTGACTAATGTAAAGGCGCTTTCACACCAGTGATATAAATAATCCTCGGGCTGAAGGAAATGCAAATTCACGTCTGTACAGTAGAAGGCGCCGCTCAAACAAACCTTTCAGCTGTTCTGCCGAAACGCAGAAGAATATGAAGGAGAAGAAAGTTCAACAGTAACAAAAAAATGAAACTCAAATGTGATATTTAATACTGTAATTTTTGCTTATTAGTATAGTTGAATTGGCTCATAAAAGGTCAGCAGCAAAGATATCGGTTAATAAAGTGAGATTAAATACATAAAGTACATGTGTGTTAAGATTTCATTACTGCAGGTTTGTATAATATTCTGAGTTTGCATTATCGCTGTTTTAATAGTTTTGAGGAATACTGTATGATTTTGTGCAAGTGAGATGAGTAAATCCTGCTCACATTTATAAATGCATTGTGTTGTTGTTTTTTAAGAAGAAGAAGACACTACAAAAGCACAGCTGTGATTATGAGGTGTCACTCCTGATATCAATCTCATTGTGGACGTTAACAAATGAGACAAATGTTATCATTGTTTGGCGTCTACATCAATAGCTCCACGCAGTGCAATAGCTAACGCTGTGGATCCAGATTTGCTGGTGTAAGATGTTCTGGCAGGCCTGTCTGGAGCTGGCAGCAGCTCCACACATCATGCTTTGATCCTCGTCGCAACGAGAGTTTGTGACAGTTTTTTGGGTATCAAAAGAAGAAAACACAGAACTTATCAATTGAAGTTAGACAAAAATGAAATAAATAAAAACACATAAGCATTTCCTTGATTTGCCTGATATTTTGATGAAGGAGCCCACCGAGACAGCACACTCTCTGACTGGTTTAGAGGCTGGAAAGGACCCTTGGCGTCCCTGCATGAGTGAAATTCAGAGGCCAGTGTATTTCTGAATGTCTTTCATTACTCCAATGCTCAATTCCCACTCCATGATTAAATCAACTAACAAATAACTGAAACTGAAGAGTATGTTATTGGCATTTTTAATTGCACCATCACATATAACCTGTTACAGCTGTTGTAATGGATCTTTGATTAACTGAAAACTGACTCAAAAATGAGTTCAAATTATACTTACAAAGTTCTTCGATAAGTTGTCTAAATGTAAAGATAAATGATTTTGTTTGATAAATTGTGCTTTAATTTTATGATTAGCATCTTATTTTCTTATTTCTCACATTCCAAGGTTTATACATTAGCATAAGTGTAAAAAAAACATGTAATTTAAAATAAAACTTATAATTTGTTATTTTAATTTCTAGTAATTATTTAAATATATCCATTATGTATGTATGTATATATATACACACATGTATATATACACACACATGATGATTAGCATGGTGTAACTTCTATGCTGTTGTCACAGAGATGCTCCTCTAGGAAAGCGAGTGTTTTCTCCCAGGACTCCTCCTGAGCTCGACCGTGAGGCGCTGTCTCTCCTCCCCAAAGATTCACCACTGCAACACACACCACAGTCACTTCAACATCCTCAAATACAACTCACACATGCCATCAACCCTATCTATCTATCTATCCATCTATCTATCTGCAAAGTACGTTCAACACAGAAAATAATGATCTTACCCAGAATTGACCATAATACAAGGGCTAGATAGCTCAAACGCAGTGATAACTAGCTGTTTTATTGATGTTTTAGACTTTAACCTTTGGTCTTTGCCTCCAGTAACTTGAAGTCACTGAATCGGACGTGAGGGCTGTAGGGCGGTTCAATAAGATGACCGGTTCCAGGGTACGAGAGAACAGTTAGCAGATGACCGTTCCCAGCCTTCTCCATCATCTTCTTCATCTGCGGAGGAGGCCATTAGATTTGAGCGTCATGACTGACCTGAGATTAAATGACAGTGCTAAAGACAAACGTTTTAACGTATGAAACTTATCGACTCACATCCGCTGCAGATTCTGATGCCGGACAGTTTTGATCATCCTCACCAGCGATCAATAAAACAGGACATTTGATTTTGCCCATCTGGTGAAAACAAAACCCACCGCATGAACTGTAAGCACATGATGCTTTATAGTAAAAAAATTGCATTTTCTATACCAACTTCCCAGCACAGGGATCATTTTCATACCTCGACTTTCTTGGAAGGGTCAACTGGTATTGGCAACAGCAGATCCCGCCAAATTATTCTCATCTTTTCATCATAGCGCATTTTTTCGACGTTCCTTGGCATTGACAGAATGACAATTGTTAACAGTTAATCATTAACATATAGTCGGTATAACGTAATGCATCCTAATCGTGCCGTAATGGGAAAATTGTTTCTCACTCTTGCATTGCTGCATAGACATCCGCCAAAGATCCTTTGAGCGGCATTATGTGACTCCCACTTGCACAGACCACACACTTGGGCTGAAAGTTTGTCATTAAAGAACAGAAAGCAAATTAAACACATTGCATCACTGAATTTGCATCAAATCTCCAATGTATTGATGTAAATGAGACGTATTCACCTCCATAATTTCTGAGTATGCCGTCAAACCCAGAGTTACAGAGACCCCAAATGACATCCCCATCACAGCTACTTTGTCAGGACAAACTTTAGGGTGTTTTTTTAACAACATAAAGGCAGTCTGAAAATGATTTGACATGCTTTAAATACTTTCAATGCGTAAATTACAGTATATACCTTATTACCCTCCGTAATGCATGAATACAATTGTATGAAATGAAAAATTAATGAAAAAATTTGATGTAAAATTAATTTTAATCCATTGATAAGTACAAAATTCACACAGTCACTTTTAAAAAAAATCAATGCACGGTTGTGTATACACAAAAAGCACCATAAATATATATTTTTTTGTTATATTTTATTTGTTTTGTAGCGCACATGTACCTCAAAGTAGGTGTTGTCCATGTGCTGTAGTTTTCCTTCCGCATTCAGGAGCCCGATGTATTCCAGGGCCAGCGAGACGTAGCCGTGGGAAGCCAGGAGCGCTGAACGATACTCAACACGACCCCCCTGCCCGCCCGAAAGGTCCAGTACAGCAGGGAAGGGTCCAGAACCTGCATTACAAACCCACATGCGTATAAATGAAGTCCCTTAAGCCTCTATAAATGCAGACAGAATGTACAATGATTTACATTCATCTAAATGTACAAGGTTACAGGGTAGGTTGGTTTTAAAATAAGTGCATCTCTTGTGGCACAAGACAAATACATATTTCATGTGCTGTTTCTGAATGATTTGGATTGTTGAATCCTTCATATAGCACTGAGGTGTATTTAAACCTCACTTATATCCTGACCGCATGCTGTCGGTTCGTTCAAATGAATAAGATTTAATACGCAAGATAAATTAAGTATTAAAAAAGAACTAATAAATTATGATAATTATACACCACTGTTCAAAAGAATAAGTCTCTTTTGCTCACAGAGGTTTCATTTATTTGATCCAAAATACAGTAAAAATAATAATATTGTGAAATATTATTACAATTTAAAATAACTGTTTTCTATAAATGTAATTTATTCTTGTAATGCAATTTTCAGCATCATTACTCCAGTGTCACATGATCCTTCAGACATCATTCTAATGATTTGCTGATCAAGAAACATTTCTGATTATTATCTTATTTCTTCTTATTGTAATGTTAAAAAATAATTGATAAAAAAAAATGTCAGGATTCTACACGTTTGATCAATTTAATGCTTCATCGCTAAACAAGTATTAATTTCTTCTTCTTTTTTTATAACTGACCAAAACATTTGAATGGCGGTGTAAATAAATTACTCCAGTATCATTACTCCAGTGTCACATGATCCTTCAGACATCATTCTAATGATTTGCTGATCAAGAAATATTTCTGATTATTATCTTATTTCTTCTTATTGTAATGTTAAAAAATAATTGATAAAAAAAAATGTCAGGATTCTACACGTTTGATCAATTTAATGCTTCATCGCTAAACAAGTATTAATTTCTTCTTCTTTTTTTATTACTGACCAAAACATTTGAATGGCGGTGTAAATAAATTTGATAAAATAAATAAATATATTAAATAATAAATAAAACAATTTGTGCATTATTACGTAGCTTATTTTTGTTTTATATTATTATTTTTATTTTATTATTATTTTATATTGATAGTATTATAATTAAATATAAATAAAAATTATTTCACAATACAATTAGCCTATGTAATATATACTAATGAATGATAGACCAATAGGCTTTATGCCGAGCGTCACGTGACCAAGCCGGAAAACAGATCACATCGCTTCCGATTCAGGTCTTTTGTATGTGCTTCATGAATTTTTTTGCGAGATAACTTAAAACGAGTAAGCAAAAATGAGCACAACCAATGTCCCTCGCATGTGCAGATTGATATTTAAAAGTTTTTTAATTTTTCTTCTACACACTAACGTTTAGATATTTAAATAGCATAAAACACCAATAACAAAGTGAACTTAGTAGGTTAGCTGATTACCTTAAAAATCCATAGATATCGTAGTTAGTTCTTACGGCCGTTAACACTTTCTCTGACAAGCGGATGCAATGAGACCCGTTTTCCGTGACGCTCGGCATAAAGCCTATATATGGGCAAACATCTAATCATTAATCCATACCTGGGGGAATGAAGAGTGTCCCCTTTATCCCGCGCTCTGCGACTTCAACCCTCTGGACATCAGGAGCCACATACCAGCGTTCAGCAGTAGCTGATGTGAGGGGTGTGTGATGCTTGAAGCCCTTAGCAAGGTGTCCTTCATGCACAGAAAACACCACTTTAACTGGTGTCTGGACATTGTTCTTCTGAAATCTGTCAATTCAAATCAGGATACACTAAATGAGCTTTTACGGCACATTTACACGGGCGAAATCCACTCATTTCCAAAGATATTCACGTGACCTGGAATTTTGCGTGATTTTGCGCAGATTTCGCAACGGGTTCAATTTCGTAGCACAAATTCACAGCGTTGATACATTACCAGAACCCTGCTTGAAAGTGACTTATGTTTAAGGTGCGCTTCATACACACCGCCTCACTATTAGACAATAGCCTACACTTCTTTCTTTTTTTTCGCTAATGTGATCGTCTATAGTGTAGCAATTAGTGATGGGTCGACTTCTTTTTTTTTTCGCTAATGTGATCGTCTATAGTGTAGCGATTAGTGATGGGTCGATAAACGATTCGTTCATTTTCAATGAATCTTTAATATGACTCATGACCAGCGAGTTGTCTCAGAAAGTGATTTTGTTCATTGTGTGTTGACCGCGCATACGCAAAATCCCATAGGTTCTGTACAAGAAACAGAAATTATTAATTCACTTCTCGAGTCTTTGGGTTCGATTTGTTCATCCTTTTGTCACGTCACAGGCCCACATGAAACAGAAATGATTAGTTCACCTAAGTTGCGTCCCAAATGACGCACTATACACTATGCACTTTTACACTATGTAGCCTACTTATGCACTATATAGCCTAATCATCCGTTTAGTGTATAAATTGTTATTTTTTCATTCACTGTCGGAGTCTGATAGCCCCTCCCCCTCCGCTACATAATTACATGTACAAGTACAGTCGAGTACACAAAGTGTCCAACATTCAAAATGACTTTTTCCCCGCCATTGACGTTAATTTCCGGCTTTCCATGTTTTCACTGTTATATGGTAGGGGGCGCTATGACACATCTTCTGAAAGAGTACTGAATCTCCTGATCAAAACACAGGCAAAGAAGAAGCAGAAACAAGCGATATCATATGTAAGAAGATGCATATGTAAATAACGCAATCATCAACATTAAACAGCATGAAAATTATCAAAAATGCTGGCAGTGGCTGGCAACTTTTTTCAAAAACGGTGGCGGGGAAAGAGTTAAGTGCATCATCCGGATATTTAAAGTGTACTTATTATATGTGGAATTTTAAGTGTGAACACTACTCGCACTATTTATACTAAAAACAAACATAGAAAAGTGCATAACTACGCAAATTGGGACGCACCTCTAATCTTCGGGTCTGAGTCGGTCATTCTTTTGTCACGTGACGGCTATATTGGATACAGAAATTAGTTAATAAATCCCAAACCTCCTTACAATGCACATAGGGTTTTTTTGTTGTTGTTTTTTTTTACTCTTACAGTTACATGATGCTTTTCTGGTCTCAAATTTCTTACAATTTATACATTTGTGAATTTTTGTTATAATGATTCAGTGACTCGGAGCCGAAGACTCTGGAGGGGAACTTATCATTTCTGTTTCCGGTACAGACTGCATAGCTTCAGCCTATGGACATGTGACGTGACAAACCATCATACTAGACCCGCTTCGAGCGGGATTGGAACCGGGGTCTCTGGCATTGGAGGTGTGCGCACTAACAAGGACGCTAAAGACCTCAGTCACTAGCGTACCTCTTGAGGCCATGCAGGCGAGTAAGGTTTACCTGCAAAGCTCTTTGGCCTACGTCCGTTACACACGGCTCACTCAGAAGTCACTTTAAAACCAAACATCTTTCTGTTGTGTTGGTCAACATGGTAAACCTGTTGAAAAATCTGCGAGGGAAAATAATTTGCCGCTCATGAAATTCCAAAACACGTGGATTCCTATTTTAATGAATGGATTTCTCCAGAGAAAATTCAATAAATGTTATCTTCATGATACTCACTCTACGATTCTCATTTTGTTTTTCCTCAGAAAAAAAAATTAACAGCATACAGTTTTGGAAAGACATTTGGGGACTAAACAATGGCAGAATTTTCATTTTATGGTGAACTGTCACTTTAAATAATAACTTCACTCATTCAATAAAAAAAATGTGGTGCGGTTGTTTATTATCTCTTTATCTTTATTTACTTACCGGCGAACTGTTTTACTTTCAGGAACAGGTCTCATACTCCACAGCAGAGCCATGGCTTCAACTCCCTCAAATGTCCCACCAAGACTTTTATCTCTGGAAACTGTGTAATAATAATTCAGTGAATCCATTATGATAAAAAAATGCGTCAAAACACACAAAACTGCATTTGTATGTGAGTTTAAAATGAAGTACTGTACCCTTAACGGTCCCTGAAGAGTCACTGGTGTAGTGGCCGAATGCTTCCCAATCGTCTCCATCGTCAGAGTGAATCAGCGCGTGAAGAGTGATTTTGGAATCGGCGGGCAAGAGCTCAACTTCCACCTCAAATTTTTCATCAACCAAGCAAGTTGAAGGATGAACAGAAAGTAAAGGACTCGACTCTGTCTTGGCCATTTTATACCTTTAAAATTGAAACTGGAATCGCTGTTTTTTTTTTCTGAACACAAACTGTGACAAAGGCTTTTATAAGACGTTTAACCTGGTTATTGTCCTATAGGGTACCAGTCCACACAGACAACTCCTTATATGGTTTGTTCTGAAGTTCTTCGATAAACATTAAGCCCATAAAAACGTAAACGGTTATTGAGACTGATGATAAATGCCTTATATAGGCTAGATAGTTTGACCTAAGTAACAGGATATCTATCATAAAAAAACTAATTTTAGAACACTGATATAAGATGTACAATATAATCAGGTCTGTATAGAAAAAAAGGGAAATTCATTTAATAGTTGATACATTTTGATGCAATTTGTGGTATAATTGGTTAGAAAAACACATTTTACTAGGAATAAAATAACAGGTGTAATCATGAAAGATGGATTAATATTCTGTTCATTGAAACAGTTCATTGCAACTATCACTGCTTTTCTTTCAAATATAGAAAGTATGCTTTACTACAATATTCATAATTTGTACTTTAAAAATGTACACTTATTTTCTATTGATATTTATTTTATTGTTGATTTGTGTGCTACTTTCCACTGATCTTTGTCCATCAGTCAGTAAACAGTTAAAATGTTATCAAAAAACTGTCACATTTACCGTCACAAAGTCTGTCTGTCATTCTCGGAAGATATGACATTTTTATGGAAGCCTAGAAAAAAAAACATACTTTTGCAAATCTTAATTATGACATAAAAAGTCGAAATTATGATGTACTAAAGTCATAATTATGACAAATGTCGAAATTATGAAATAAAGTCGAAATAAGTCATAATTCTGAAACTCATGTCAACATAATGAGATAAAAAAAATCTAAATGATTACTTTCTGTCATACATTTCCACTTAGTATGTCATCATTTAGATTTTTTTATCTCATAGTTTTGACTTTTCATCTCATAAATGACTCATATCATAATTTCATCTTCTCGTGTCATTATTATGATTTACAGAACCATGATTTTTTAATGATTTTTCTTATGTGGGAGAAATGGGCTTCCATAAATTTTAATTAAAAATGACAATTTAAAAAAAAAAATTAAACATGCATGGATGAATCATTCACAATATGATCATTACGATGCATTTAGAAAATAGATACCGACTTTCATCCTTACAGACAACTACAGTGAAACCAATTTTATGGTATTCATGGAACATTTTAATAAATGACAAAGCAAAACATAACAAGGATTGTCTGAACAGGCAAATGGTTGCTTTTATTTATCATTATTTGCCAGGATAATAGAACAAACACAGTATTTTAACAGTTAACACAGCAGGAATGTACAAATGTGATAAACTGTAGCGTAGGCCCTCAACTTTTTCCCCCCTCAGAAAATAGATATAATTCTGACGTAAGTTTATATCTCGCAATTTTGAGTTTAAGATATGAGTGAGATATAAACCCACAATTGCGAAGAGAAAAGTCAGAATTGTGAGATAAAAATTCACAACTGCGAGCGAAAAAAAAGAATGATGTCTATTTTCAATTTTTATCATTTTTATAAATTGTTATTTTTCATGGCGGAAACCAGCTTCCACACTTACAGTAACTACTCTTAAAACAGCTGATAGCACCACATTCAATGTACATATTGACAAATACAACTTAAATATAAGTTAAAGATAAATCACACTATCAAATAGGTAGTTAAAATATTGAATATGTAGTGGTAAATCTGCCTTGGAATGCAGGGACCCTTGGTTGAAACATCATAATAATGTTTCTTCAGAGAACTGACTCATGGTGCACCTCCAGCGAATATGAGCTCCAGGGCCGCTTGGATGTCTCCGCCCGTGGCCTGCAGGGCTCTCAGGATGAGCTCCTCATCACGGATGCCCATGTCCCGCAGCTGCTGGAGCTGCGACTGCCACTGATTCTACACACAGTATGAAAGAGAGTCACTCCAGAATCAGCAACGCTACTTTGTGTGTTCACACTTGTTGTTTGGTTCACTTGGTTTTTTTGATCCGGACCAAAACAGAAAATTATACATTCAGTCCTGGTTCGCTCAGCATTCACACTGATTTTTAAGACCAAAAAAAAAAAAGACCAGTGTTGTGTGTGCACTGGATGTTATTGTAGTTTTAGACTAAATGTGAGCAGGCATTTACTCATCTCACTTAAAACACAAAACCAGATTCAGGATTCCTCAAATTTGATACAAAACAGACAAATGCAAACTAAGAATATTACACAAACCTGCAATGAATAAAAATGCTAAATAACACAAATACACTTTATGTATATAATCTCACTTTATTAACCAATGTCTTTGCTGCTGACCTTTGATGATCAATTTCAACCATACGAAAAAGGCTGTGTTCCAAACCGCATACTTCCCTACTACTATATAGTAAGCAAAAAGCAGTAGGCGAACGAATAGTATGTCCGAATTCTCAGTATTCATAAAATAGCAGGTGAGAATTACCAGGGTTTTGGACTAATTCTCGCAAGGTTCGGAGACTAATGTTGCATCCGAATAAGCCTATTTACGGGAGAGGATACGTCATAATCAAACATCGATCGCAGAGATCAGCGAAGTGGGTGTTTTCGAATGTGAGTAAACCTTGTGTTAAAATAGCATCTGTTGAACTACTGTAGAGTAAACCGTTGAATTGTTGAAGGTGTAAAGATGCTAGATAGCATAGTTGTGATTTTGCTGTAAAAACACATTTTATTGTGTAGGGATTCCCAAAGTGTGGTACGCGCACCCCCAGGGGTACGCGAGCTGCCACCAGGGGGTGCGCGAGAGGAAAAATGTAATGGCGGTCTGTTTTGTAAGTGGGATTTTTCCATACAATAAAATAAAAACCATGAACAGTAAACATTTCCTTTGTAATCGCTTTTATTTTAAATAAAAAAATCAAAGTAAAAACTGTAAAAACACATTTTATTGTGTATAGCTAACAGGGGAGCTCCAGTAAGGACACGTACGTCTCCAAAGTGGATTTACATAAACCATATACATCTTAAAGACGCTTACTAAATATCTATTTAACATCTTACAGGAAAGGCAGGTAGACTGAAGTGAGCACTGAGGATGAAGAGCCACAGCAGAATCCTGGAAATGGTATAGTGCCATGGATGAGACCTTCCTTCACTCCACCTGCCCTTATTGCCTCATCTGGCCCGGATGTTACTGTGGTCTCTTCATCCTCAGTGAGCCCACGGCCAGCGAGAGCATCTAGAAAAAGACCAAAAGACATTGAGGATGTGATCAGAGGGGTGGAGGAGAGGGAAGCGGGAAGAGAAGGAGAGAAATGGAGGAGAAGGAGAAACGAAGAGAACGAGAGAGAGGAGAGACGAGAACGTGAAGCCAGAGGAAGAGAAGACAGATGGCACCAGGAAGCAAGTGAGAGAGAGGAAAGGAGAGAGAGGGAGACAAAGGAAAGGAAGGAAAGGAAGAAAAAAAAAAAAGCTTAATAAATTGAGACAAAAAGTATTTTCTCCTTAAAACTGCAGTGAACCAAAGACTGTCTCAAAAATGCAGTTTGAAATCGCTGGTGTTTCTGGTGTAACCAATCAGGTCAACGTGTGATCGTTAGCGAGTGGATCTCAGCTGGTGTGAGTGAGTGGAGGCGGGGCTCATTTGCATATTCATAGAACCGCGTATACTAAATGAGGCAAGGGTGTAGAGTTACATTCAAGCCATTTTAAAGCATGAAGACATTTTTTTTCAAGGAAAAAACATTTAAATATGTCATTTTGGTGATCAATGGTGAGTTTTAAGGGATAAAATGATTGACTACAGGGGGACTCTAAGTTGTTGCGCTAGTGATAACGTTGTAGGTCACATGATAACGTCAACATGGCGGATGATGTCTGGATTGCAAGACCCACTCAGTGAGAACATTGGATATCACTGGGCAAGCGTGCCCGGAGGGAGGTAACATGTGGAAAATACACACATGGACTAGCCAAGCAGGGGAGTGCAACATATGGAAGTCTCTGGGGTGGTTCCAGCCTAATCCTAGGGGGGAAGCGCACCGGCAGAGACGCCAGAGCGGGCTCTGCCAAGGGAAAGACACTGGCTAGCCGTACCGTGGAATTCACACATATGGGGTCGCCGCAGGGACCGCAGTGCGGGGTAATGGAAACTCGATACGTGCCACGCCCATCTCGGGACCCGGCCATGAAGCCAGTGTTGAAGCAGCCTCATTTGAAGCAACCCGAGTGGCGTTACTGCGGCTGCGGAAGCCATATGCCCCAGATGCCTCTGAAAAAAGTTTCAGTGGGGCCGCTGTCCTGCGTCTGAACGAATTCAAGCAGTTCAACACCGACTGGACGCACTCCTCAGTGAGGCGCGCTGTCTGGTTGACCGAGTCCAGCTCCATACCGAGATAAGAGATCCTCTGAGCAGGAGAGTTTGCTCTTGTGCCAGTTGACCCGAAGCCCCAACAGGCTGAGGTGACCGAGCACCATGTCCCTGTGTTCGCACAACTGCTCTCGCGAGTGGGCCAGAATGAGCCAGTCGTTGAGATAGTTGAGAATGCGAAACCCGCGTTCCCTGAGTGGAACAATGGCTGCCTCCGCGACTTTCGTAAAGACGCGAGGTGACAGAGCCAGCCCGAAGGGTAAGACTTTGTACTGATACGCCCTACCCTCGAAAGCAAAGTGCAGAAAGGGCCTGTGTCGAGGAAGAATCGAGACGTGAAAGTACGCATCCTTCAGGGCGATCGCTGCAAACCAGTTTTGGGGACGGATGCATTCGAAAATGCGTTTCTGCTTGAGCATTTTGAATGGGAGCATGTGCAGGGCCCGATTCAAAACTCGCAAATGTGCATTGGCTCGTTTAGTTTCTCTCGAAGAAGCAGATTGGTCTCTCTGCGAAGATCCCATTTCTGTCGGATCCCTCCGACGAACGTTGGAGTGACCGACATGAAAGGGAACTATTCTTTTAGCGCTCGTTAAGTAAGACCTTATTGAAATTAAGTACCTAATCAGTGAGTATGCGGTTTCGAACGCAGCCAGAGTGTTGAACTTTCTTCTCATGCGCCCTATTCTTCTGCGTTTCACAATGGCAGAACAGCTGGAAGGTTTGTTTGAGCGGCGCCCTCTACTGTTCAGGTGTGAATTTGCTTTTCCTTCAGCCTGAGGCTTATTCAGTTCACTTTTGGTGTGAAAGGGCCTTAACATTTGCCAGAAATAGAACTTTTGTCAAACAAGCAGGCCCAGACCAGGTAAGAAAAAAATAACGCAACACGCAACAGTAACATAGCGCATGACTTGAAAAAGTAAGTAACACAATTAGTTACTTTTTAGGGAGTAACACCATATTGTAACGCTTTACTTTTAAAAGTAACTTTCCCCAACACTGTTTGAACATCTCTATTTGAGATGTTTGAAGTGCTGTAATGATGATGCTGGTCTAAATTGGCACGGGATCTCTGGTGGTTACTCACATGTAAGCTGGACATGCTGGAGACCTGCAGGGCCTGCTGCAGTGCCTGGTTAAACAGGTCGTTTGTTATAGGAGTGCCTGCAGGAATAGGGGACACTCCTGAAGAGGGACCCTGTCACAGACAATGACATGTTTGTTCTTTTATTAATGTGTGCAAATCTCAAACATATGGAAGCATGTTTCCACCATTGAATAAAAAATAAAAAAAAGGTGATTGCGTCTTTTTATCTCACAATTCTGTCTTTTTCCACTTGCAATTCAGACTTGCTATTATAAGTTTCTATCCCACATTTCTGATGCAATTGTGAGTTATAAAGTCTGAATTGCAAGATATAAACTCAAAATTGCGAGACAAAAAAATAAATTACCTTTTTATTTTTTCTTATTTTGTGGCAGAAATAAGCTTTTATACAAACAAAACACAAACACAACAAACTTGTATTAAAATTCCAACAATTATCCATTAGTTATTAAATATATATTTATTAAATCAAATATAAATACTTAATTTCTATACCACTTTGTCTAAAAAAATTAAAAATAAAATACTAAAAACAATCATTTCTAAAAAGAGAATTTGTGCATCACAAAAATAAAACGGTAAAAAAAATATATATTTATTTTTCGATCTGCTAAAGATTACATTTAACAGTGTTATTAAATTAATGTTTTTAAGATTAACTTAAGATAATTTTAAGTGAGATTTAATAGTTAGAAATTAATACTTTAATTCAGCAAGGATGCATTAAATTGATCAAAAGTAACAGTAAATAAGTATATAATATTACAAAAGATTTCTAGTACAAATAAAAGCTGTTCTTATAATATGAAGCAGCATATTATTATTTTCAACAATGATAATAATAGTAAATGTTTATTGAGCAGCAAATCATCATATTTGAATGATTTCTGAAGGATCATGTGACACTGAAGACTGGAGTAATGATGCTGAAAATTCAGCTTTGTCATCACAGGAATAAATTACATTTTAAAACACATTCAAATAGAAAACAGTTATTTTAAATTGTAATAATATTTACAATATTTCTGTTAATACTGTATTTCCGATCAAACAAAAGCAGCCTTGGGGAGCAGACGAGACTTCTTTCAAAAACATAAAAAAATCTTACTAACCTCAAACTTTTGAATGTATACTTATATACTTAGAATATATATACTTATAAACCCTATAATGGTATGTATAGTCTATTGAAGTGCCCTGTACCTGGTTTCCAGTAGTTGGTGTAACAGCACTGCTCTCGGGGGTGCTGGCGAGGGCTAAAGCTGTGGCCAGCTCACTTTGAGTGATGGGTCTGGGGCCGACGGCTCCGTTGTAACCGAGAGTAGCTGGCCTCATGCCGGCAAAACCACTCGCAAGAGTGGACGGCCCACCACGATTCACCTACAGATGATAAAGCAGGCTTAGGATCCAATATCGCAAATGCACATACTCTTAATGAAGAACAGTAAATCATAACAAACCGACTGGAAATCTTCCTCATCATCAGACATGCCTTCAAAGAGGAAACCTCCTGTAGATTAAAAAAAGGTTCATGCATTAAATCTACATTGGATCGCCAAAATGACCTGTCACATTATGTTAATGGTGGGCAATTTTTCACTTAAATTGTGTTTAAATGGACACCAACCTGGCATGTCACTGTAAGAGCTAGAAGACACATTTCTGGAGGAGCTGGCGCTCTGCTGGGGCGGCACACTGCCAGCCACCGAGTGCAACACCAGGATGATGGCATTTACCAGTGCCGGGTGGGAATTGGCCAAACTGGTGAGACAGTTAAGATGGGGGTATTGTTATCTTTAACCCCATTTACTTCTGACATGTGACATAAGCCAAAAAGAAAAGATTAAATCGTATAAAGACATGTTGATGAAGTATTATAAAGACAATCACTGCCAGTCAAAAAAGTTTACAACCTTGCCTGCTTATGCTTAAATGCTTGAAATTTGTTTTATATACAAATATAAATTCCACCTAAATTAATCTATTTTTAAAAATGGCAGTTTTATAATAATAATATTATATTTTAAGTTAATTATTATTATTATATTATCAATTTATTAATAACATTATTGATATATTATTGTTGTTGTTTTTATTATTACTATTATTCTTATTTTTATTTACAATATAATAAATTGCATGTAACAGTATTGATTTATTATTATTAATACTGCGGATGCTGCTGCTTATAATAATTATTATTATATTAACATTGTTTTATAATAATAATAATAATTATTATTATTATTATATACATTAAGTTAATCAATTATTATTTTATTAAATATATAAATTGATTAATGATGATGATATTATTGATTGATTGATTATTATATTATTATTATTATTATTATTATATGAATAACATTGTTGATTTATATTAACATTATTATTAATAAGAGTAATAACAATTGTTGTATTAATATTGATTAGTTAATTAATAAAAACTGTTTTAATATTATGTTGTTATTATTAAAAATATAATAATAATAAAATTATTATTATTATTATAAATATTGTAATAATAAATATTATTAATTATAGTGTAATTAAATATATATATATATATATATATAAATTAATATAAATATATATGTGTATATATATATATATATATAATTAATAATAAAAGTATAATAAAGCATAATGTATATAATTATCATATATATGATTAAATAAATAATACATATCTTTTTATTATTAACAATAATAACAATAAATAATACATACCTTTTTATTATTATTATTATTAACAATAATAACATAAAAGTATTGATTTATTATTATTAATTATAAATACCACTACTACTAATAATAATAATAACAATAATTAATATATTTATACTGAATAGTTAATAATAACATAATTGATTTATTATTATTTGTGTTGTTTTATTATCACCATTATTATTATCATCATCATCATTATTATTATTAATTACATTTAATATTATTGATTTACTTTTTTCTTATTATTAATATTAATACTATTAATAATAATAATCATTTAATAGTATTTTTATGGATGAGTTGGGGCAGTTCGTAAAAAAAAAAGCAGCGATTTAATTTTGACTGTAACGAAGCTCACTCACGTGTCAAGCATGCTTGGGTCTGTGAATTGTATGAAAAGGTCTTTGTCTTGAAGAACCCCTGAAAATGTAGTTAATAAACAGAAGTACTGTAAGTCTTCGACACGCCTCACATCACAAATCATTTCTGCTTCTGAACGTACCAAGAGCCACAGGATCGCTGCTCAGCCCAGGAGTTGCCACGATGATCTGGTCGAGGGATTCCTTGTTGTTCAGCATCTTAAACACCTGGAATGGGTGAAGAAGAAGTGCGTGAAAAAGTACCCAAGCATCCAGAACCACCAACAGACACTCATAGTCAGTACTGAATCGGTATGCCACTCACTGCCGTCTATTCAACCTACCGAATCTCTGTATGCAGTGCTGGTGTGAAGAGCTGCTTGCAAGACTCGAAATTCCCTCGCAGCCGCGACTTTGTCCACTGGCTCTATAGAAGAACATAGAGGAATAAATAACAGACCATGTTTATGGAACTTTTATGTTGCTTTTTGTCTTTTATGGAGCTTGACAGTTTCTGTCTTTACATATTTTCACTTGTATGGAAAAGAACAGCATGAACATTCTGCCTGACGTCTCCTTTTGTGTTCAACAGAAGAACAAATAATTGCATCGACTCACCGGGATGGACCACAGGTTCTGGCCATGACCTTCTCAGGATGTGCACAGTGGATCCAGACTGAATCCCATAGGACTCCAGAGTCAAGTCATCCTTTAACTTTCTACCACAGTACACTAATTCTGTCATTGGAGATAATGGGAAAACTGTTTGCAATCTTGTCAAGATTCCTCTAGGGTTCATGGCCGGGCGGTAACATTTTTATGAATTCTAACAATGCATGAATGTGAACAAACATGACACCAGCACACATTAACACACACACACACACACACACACACACACACACACACACACGTCGGTACCTGGAATAGATACTGGTGACTATTAGGATAGTTACTAGTGATTATGATTAGGAAACAAATAGGGAACTACTGATCAGTTACCTGCAAAATTGGAATTAGTACAACAGTTGGAATATTAACTAGCTATTCACTTTTGAACAGTTTGTATCTGAACCACATAATTCCAAAGAATTCACTAGCATTATTAGTCAGACGCTAATGCCATAACAATGGAATAGTTACTAGTTATTATTATAGTAAAAGCAATATATAATTAATAGTTTTTCAAATTGATTCACTATGGATTAATTTAAATACAAGTACAAAATAAATTTTAAAAAGCACTAACACTATTTAGTCTACACTCTACAGATGCAAAGGGGCTTGAATAACGGGCTGACAGCTCAAAATGAAACCGTTATAGTAATACATTTTAATGGTTTTAATTTGACTTTGAGGTCCACATCAAATTATAACATTATGGGCTCATTCTTTTTAATTCGTTTATAAAAAACTGTAATCATTTGAAATGTAACAGTATTAATACTGCCATACTGTGCCACCTAATATTATGAATGAGTCTTATGGGTGTATTATATGTTACCTATGAGCTCAGGATCTGGTATGGCATCTGGGATCTGTGCTGACACCAATTGCTTGAGAGTGGAGACCCGATACCCCCCGGGAGGAACATCTCCAGGTTCAGTCTCTGGAAACTGCAGCACCGACTTGGGAAGAGATGGTTGATCCACCAGCTTTAAACACAGACGCCACTCTGATGACGCCATTGATCTAATGCACGTATTACAGCAGCACGCAGATGACGTGCTTTCTTTTTTGGCACAGAATCGATGAATATATCTATCACTCTTGTAAACGCAATCTGTCTTTTGCATTGAATTAATAGTATCATCAGCGACTGTTTTCATCCGTGCAACATGACGTCATGCAGGAAAGATCGTGGTTCTGGGAATCGTAGTTTTCCTGGTGTGTTCACAGACTGTAGTACTGTCTTATGAACAGAGGGGGCAGAGTAGTTTTTAATCACAGCAGTTCAAGTAAAAAAAAAACAAGCAAAGTGTGTCTCAGAGAACCCACGACCAGGGTTATTTTTGTATTTAAAAATAAAAATAAAATAAAATAAAATATATAAAAACTCAAACTCATTTTATTTCGGCTAGTTGACAAGGTAACATTTCTCATTTACATTTAGTTTAACTTGATGTCGCAAAATAACTAAATATTTAGAAAATATTACAAATAATTAAACTGAAATAAAAAGAACTATATAGATATATAAAAAATAATAAAAATGACAAAAACACAACAAAATTAACAAAAAGTTAAGTAAAATCAAATGAAAAATATAAAAATTTACTTTTAAAATAGTAATAAACCAACAAAAATAGTATCTCAATGATACCAAAATAACACTGCCCACAACCAGACTTATTTTTAATAGTAATAAATAAATAAAATATTTCAGTGAAATTATTTCTAAAGCCACTTAAATACTAATATCAAATGCTTTATTTTTCCCATTTTTGTTGTTGTTTATTTTCTGATTCACTTATACGTCATATGATCTGAAAGTTGAATGAATACATGTTGACTTTAAAGTGCACAAGTTATTTAAAAAAAAAAAAAAAAACATGTAGGCTAGCTGGTCTTTGCACAAACCAGCTTGCCAAAGATGGTATACAGGGTTCAAATTTAATGTTAGTGGTTAGCATTTCATTTCCCCTTAATGTCATTGCCCTGTTAACACATGTATCCCAGGTAAATTGCCATCAAAATTTCATTTTCACTCATTACATCTTTAGCATGGGTGTAGTTACGGCATACACCAGTAGGGGCAATCTAGACCATGCTAACTAGCTAACTAACTAACTACTCCTTGGTAAATTGAGATAATCAATCTGCTAATAATGATAAATGAGCAGTTTGGATCTAGACATGATATAACCACTTTCCATCCAAACGATTGGCCTTTCAAAGAGAGTATAACAATCTTGAATGGTTGTTTGCTTTATATTCACTCATTCCTTTCCACTATGACATGAAATGTTTTGTTTGGATCAGTTCTTTTCATTTCAAGCCCTCATATCCATCAGTTTTCAGTGCTAGTCAGGGTTTTAGTGAGGAAGGACTGTATTTGTGCTGTCACGCAGTTATTCGCTATGACAGATGGTCTCTTGGCTGGATACGCTTCTCAGAGAGCGCCAGTCTTCGCTGAGCTCTTCCACTCAGTGTTGCACGCCTGACAGCGCCTGAGGGAATCAGGACACACCAGTTATGACAGGGATAGAGGAAGAGTCCAGACATTTCACACCCTGCAAAGAGACGCCCCGTTCAGCCAGACCCAGTGGAACATGGCTCAGCTACAAAGGCTACATTGGGCTTGTTTAAAGATCAAGACAAGTCTGAAAGTCTGTACGGTGAAGATTAGAGTAACAGTGTCCGCTTCTAAACTACCACCATGACCATTCAGACTTTGGTCAGTTTGAAGTGGAAATTAGACGTCCCTTTTGTAGCAGGAGACTAAGAGAATTTTTTTTCCTAAAAACTCACAGGCTAATGGCTACATGTCCTCTGGTGTGGCTATAGCCTACTCTATTTCAACTCTTTAAAAAAATATATGTTGGAGAAAAAGGAAGTACTCAGAAGGAACTTTCGCATTATTTTTGAAGCTTGAAAGCTTCAGTTGTCATTCATCATAATTGCAGACCTGTTGTGTTTTATAAGAAAAAAAAGTCACACAGGTCAGTTAGCAATGGCAGAATTTTTTTGGGGAGTTGCTTTGAAGTATAGCCCTTTTCTCAGTCACAGTACTTACTGTAGAGAAATATGAGAGTATGTGTATCATCCAGCGTGTTTGTGATTTGATGGTTGATAGAGTCTCTTCCAGTAAGGTCACTTTATATTCACATCACACAGTAAAGCTTGATTAATGGAGAGGCTGAGGAATGGATTCTTTAATTTGATTAATTAGGCTCAAGACCTTGTCTGCAGAGGTCTGATGAGAATTGAATATAAGCATTCTGAAGGGGCTGGAAACCAGCATTAAGGGATCTTTATATATGGAATAAATGAACATTATGTGTCAATCAGGAAATTCAATGAATGAAGGAGAGGCTAATGGGTTTGATTACATGCAACCCCATTAAAACTTTTGTCCTAGTTTAGCCCCATGTGCATGAAGAGATTAGTGACTGGGACACAACTAATGGAGTATCATTATCCTGATAAAGCAAGCTTAATATCATGTGGTGCCTGTGATGCCACAATTATCATCATTAACAATGGGGCGGGGGACCGACGCTCGTGCTGCCAGAGAGCAGGTGAAGAGGAGAAGAGCTCTTTTGTGGAGGTGTTTGTTTTCTATTTCTCGATTCGCTAAAAGGGTGTACTCACACTAGGCACGGTTGCCATGAACCGGGCCCAAGTACGATTGGCCCCCCTCCCCACTCCCCCTCTGGCCTGCACTCACATAGGGTTTCAGCATTCGTGCCGGAGCACGCTTACGTCAGTTCTTTGATATCCATGACGAAGAAGATAGTCACGGATTTTTCTAAATATATCTGAGTTTTTATGCGTTTTGTCCAGCTGTTCTTGTATGCTCTCATCTGCCCAAATTTCCAACAAGCATTGCACCTCTGCCGTAGACCAAAGCGACCCTTTCCCCGCCATGTTGGTTTTGGAGCGTCGCAAAACCATGACGTCACGCGTCCTGTTCCGTGCTCCAGCACGGTTAGCGCTCACACTGCATGCGAACCGCGCCCGAGTCCAACTGAACCGTGCTCTGGCCCAAATTTTCCAAGCGGGCCAGGGCCGGCTAATCGAGCCGCGCCCGGGCACGGTTCGGAGCACTCACACTAGTCAAACGAACCGCGCTTTGGTGGTCAAACGCACTCGGGCACGGTTCAAACTGGCTAGTGTGAGTACACCCTAAGAGTGTCCGGATTGCCTGGAACTGAACAGGGGCTAGGGGGCAAGAACAAGACTTCTTAGGAGGTGGTCTGGCCATGGCGGGACTCTGGCTTCCCTTCTTCACACCTGAAGCATCAGGAATGCATCGGTTGTGACTCAGGGTCCAAGGTTAATTTTTTAGAACCCTGGTGCTTACGGGAAAGGGTAGCTTTGGCACTACAGGGGTGCTGTCTGACCTCAGGCTCTGCTTTGCCAGACATTGACGCAGGCTTGACAGGCTGCTTAGTTGACAAGGACCTCTGTCGGCTCAAAGCAGCAGAATCGTTTTGACAAGTTTCAAAAGTGGCGCATAATTTGTGATCACTTCTCTGCTGCCATAGAGTGTTTGGAGAAGCCGTCCACCAAGGAGCCAAACAGGCCCGTGAGAGAAACTGTTTTGTCCTAGATCTCCCTTAAATTTAACCATAAGTGGCGCTCGAGAACCACCAAACTGGCCATCGCACAGGCGATCGCCTAGGCCTTTGTCTTAGTAGTGCACAGGGCTAGGTCGGTTACACTGAGGAGCTCCTTGAAAGCAGCAGGGTCTGGGCCAGACTCATCCATAGTGCGGAGGACTTTGGCTTGAAACACTTGAAGGATCGCCATTGAGTGGAGAGCGTATCTTGCTTGACCAGCCAAGGAATAGCCTCTGGCTGCTTAGGCCCTGTACGGCTTAGAGGGGTGAACAACCTTGGTACAACCTTGATACAACTGCGGTGGCCTCCTCCAGGGGGGAAGCTCCCCTTAGCCTTCTTGCTTGGCGCCGTCAACAGTGGTGAGGACAGGCAAAGCATAAGAATGGACAAAGGCCGAGTGGGGGGTGCGCCATGCCTCGGTCAGTTCATCATGAACTTCGGGAAAGAACAGAACAGTTCTCTGTGGGGCCCGCAGGCATGACATTCATGGCATGACATTTTGCAATAAACGCCTCCGAAATAAGTTTTTTTAGACATGAAAATTTGCTCAAACACATTTGCCGGATGGGCGCAGAGGAAAAGCACCGTTCTCAGCTGCAGTGCTGTCAGCGCAGTCACTCCTCTGCAGGGGCTTTTCCACGGAGAGCAAAAGGCTTCTTATCTTTGTCTTCTCTTCGACTTCTTTGGAGTCAAGTAAGGAGATAATCTTTGTGCTTGAAGGAGAAAGATTCTGATGAAATAGCATTTAGCATCGACTTGCAACTTGCAACCCCTCGAATGCAAATGGGTTTTATTTTATTTTATTTATTTTTCTAAATGAACACAATCTATATAATGGGTTAATACACCATCATTCCTTATTACAAAACTTATTTTTGTCTTACCCTGATTCACTATGGGAAACCTATTATAAGTCTATATATTTTAGACCTGGTAGGATGGTTTTAACTGGAAATTGTGTACGTCACTCACGTGTGCGTGTCACGTCATATCCGTAAAATTGAGAAAAGTTACTCTGGCTTTTTTGACACGTGTATGGTGTAGGAGTGGGTAAATTAAGCGGACCTGATGTGACATCACATTCGTGTTGCATTGTGGTCTATGGATCTGCCTAAAGAGTACATATTGAGTAGACTCGCTCCCTCAGTCAAAATCGATGGTTCAAGGTGTCTCTCCAAGTGAACTTCCCTCGTCAAAAAACTCTTCTGCGCTGATCAAAAGCACGATAGGAAACGACTTGCTGACGACACAGCTTAATGCTCATTAGTTTAAAAAACCGTGGTGTATTGTTCTATTTTTTAAATGTTTGATTTTAAAACTCTGATATCATGTTTTTATGTGTATAATTATGTGTGACTCTCTAAGAGTGCGGTCTCTCTATGGTTTATGTGATTGTTGTCATATTTCTAAAAAATAAATATATTAAAACATGTCTGAATTAAAGTAAAAATGGTTGATAAACTCATATTTCGAATGGAATTAAATAACAAGTACTTTGGGTGTCTTGTTCATCATATATATTTTCATATAAAAGCAACATAACTTAAATTACATCCAGTTTATTAGCAACACAGAGCATGAGTGTAAATCCTG